AAACAATAGTGGGGAGTTGGGTACAGTGGCTCACACCCGTAATTCCAGAACTTTGAGAGGCTGAGGTGGGAAGATCACTTGAGGCCAGGAGCTTGAGAACAGCCTGGCCAACATGGTGAAACCCCATCTCTACTAAAAATAAAAAACTAGCCAGGCATGGCAGTGTGCACCTGTAATCCCAGCTACTTGGAGGCCAAGGCACATGAATCACCTGAACCCAGGGGGTGTAGGTTGCAGCTAGCCAAGATTGAGCCACTGCACTCCAGCCTGTCTCAAAATAATAGTAATAATAAAATAATAATAATAGTGGGAGACTATAATACCCCCCTGAAATCACTAAATAGATTACTGAAGCAGAGAATCAATAAAGAAACTCTGGATTTAAACTGAAAAATGTACCAAATGGACCTCATAAATATCTACAGAACATTTTACCCAACAACTGCAGAATATATATTTCTCTTATCTGCATATCGAATGCCCTTCAAAATCAACCATGTGCTCAGGCATAAGGCAAGTCTCAATAAATTTTTAAAAATTGAGATTTTATCCAGTACCTTCTGGACCACACTGGAATAAAATTTGAAATTAATACCAAAAGTACTCTCAAAACTACACCAGTATGTGGAAACTAAACAACCTGCTCCTGAACAACTTCTGGGTAAATTATGGGATCAAGATGAAAGTTGTAAAAATTCTTTGAAATAAATGAAATAGAGACACAACATACCAAAGTCTCTGGGATATAGCAAAGGCAGTGCTAGAAGGAAATTGTACGGTATTAAATGCTTACATCAAAAAGATGGAAAGGTCTGAAGTTAACAATATAATGTTGCACCTCAAGGAGCTAGAAAAACAAGAACAAACAGAACCCCAAATTAGCAAAAGAAAAGAAATATGTAAAATCCAAGCAGAAATAAGAGAAATTGAGACAAAAAGGATACAATGTAATCAATAAAACAAAAAAACTGGTTCTTCAAAAGAGTAAACAAAATTGATACCACTAGCAAGACTAAGAAACAAAAGAGGAAATTCAAATAAGTAAAATCAGAAATGATAAAAATGACATTACAACTGACACCAAAGAAATACAATAAATAATAAGAGACTACCATGAACACCTCTATGCATACAAACTAGAAACCTAAAAGAAAAGAATTAATGTGTATAAACAAACACTCTTATGCAACATAGCACTGGCACTCCTCTCCAGAGCTATCAGGCAAGAAAAAGAAATAAAAGACATTCAAATTGGAAAAGAGAAAGTTAACTATCTCTGTTTGCTGATGACATGAGTGTATACTTAGAAAACCCTAGAGACTCCTCTAGAAGATTCCTAGACTTGATAAGCAACTTCAGGAGAGTCTCAGGATACAAAATTAATGTGCAAAAACTGGTACCAATAAGCTTCAAAACTAGTACCAATAAGCTTCAAAAACTAGTACCAAATATTAGTATATTTCTATACACCAATAAGCTTCAAGCTGAGAACCAAATTAACAACTTAATCACATTTACAATAGCACACACAAAAATAAAATGCCTAAAGATACTCTAAATCAAGGTGGTAGAATATCTCTACAAGGAGAACTACAAAACACTGATGAAAGAAATTGAAGATGACACAAAACAATGGAAAAACATGCCATGCTCATGAATTAGAAGAATAACTATCATTAAAATGACCTTATTACCCAAAGCAATCTACATATTTAATGCAATTCCTATCAAAATACCAATGTCATTTTTCAGAGAGTTAGAAAAAAAATTCTAAAATTCATATGAAACCACAAAAAATCCCGAATAGCCAAAGCAATCCTAAGCAAAAAGTGAAAGAATAAAACTAGACCCCTACCTCTCACCATATACAAAAATTACCCCAAGATGGATTAAAGACCTAAATGTAAAACCTGAAACTATAAAATTCTTAGAAGAAAACCTAGAAAAATTATTTTGGACATTGGCCTAAGCAAAGAGTTTGTGATGAAGACCCCAAAAGCAATTGTAACAAAGACAAAAATAGGCAAATGGGACTTAAACAAACTAAAAAGTTTCTGCACAGCCAAAGAAAGAATAAACAGAAAACCTACAGAATGAGAAAAAGATATTTACAAATTATGCCTCTAACGAGGGATTTATATCCAGAATCTACCAGGAACTCAAGCCCCTTAACAAGAGAAAAGCAAACAACCTTATCAAAAACTAGGCAAAACACAGGAATAAACACTTCTCAAAGAAGAAACACAGATAGCCAACAAACACAAGAAAAAATGCCCAACACCACTAATTATTAGAAAAATGCAAATTAAAGCCATACAAGATACCATATCACACTAGTCAGAATGGAGTAGCTGGCAAAGTTCTATTTTGTGACTTGAAATGTGATTCTAATGGTTATAAATATATAATTATATTTATAAATATTATAATTATAAATATTATAATTTGCCTTATACTATTTCATTAAGCTAAACATATTTGTATATTTTTTTACCTTGGTTTTACACTACAATGAAAAGATTGCAATAATAAAATATATTAAAGTAATGGCTATTGACTGATTGATGGAGTCTCCAATCCATTCTTTATTAACATGTTTTCTTTTGCATAAAAATCTTGAAATCTGCAAATTGATTTTTTAAGCCAAGGTTCTCTACGCAAAGTAGATGCCACCAATTAGATGTACCAAAGGAGCTTTAAAAACCAAAGAGGGCATCTTATTGATGTAATTGATACTGTTGAGCAAGATGATGATGAGATGTGAGGGAATGCAACTGTGGCAGCCATACCTGTGTCCAGTGACTATTCACCACCTTTAAGAGTGTTGAGGGTGCTAAAGGAGTGGTAGTGACATCAAGGCTTTTTGCCTTTTGTCTTTACATCACATTACTGGGGTAATGTGCTCTGGAACACAATAGCAGCCTCCAATGCATGTTCTTGTAAGTGTTTGAATTATTCATAAGCATTTAATACATTATATTAAATCTGCTTAATTTACCCAGTGGTTTATGCTTTCTTTACTATGGGACAACCAATATACGTATACTCTAACAAGAAAAAAAATTAAATATAAATATCTTATATTTAAAAATGACTAATAAAATCGCTATTTCTAGTCTCAAACTAAAAAAAAAAAAAAAGTCTCTCCTTTAAATTTTCTTTAACAGGTGCCAAGTAGGAAAAAGGAGAAAAATCTATCTTTTATTCATGGCTTCGGATTCCTCGTACAGTTAAAAGGTAAAGAAGAAAGATAGGCAAATTAACAATGGTTTTGCATTTAGTAGTCATAAAAATGAAAAAAAACCTGTAGCCTCCAGTCCTAAAACATTTTTATAGGAAAAAACAGGTATACATCTCCTTATTGGCAGTGTAAATTATCAGAGTAAAAAATAATAATGGAAGTGTAATATTTTAGTACAGAGTAGATACTGAAATTTGTTTTACAGAAATCAGAGAGAAAAAATAAACAACCTGTCAATTGAATTATATCAGCAATAATACAGACAGAATACATCAATCAATGATTGCATAGACATTTTCAATCTCATTTGAATGTTGGTCCTGCTAACTCCAGAATAATTTGTGCATATTTATCTCACAGATGTAACCAAGAGCATTGAAAATAATTCTAAACAACAAAGCATAACAGAAACTTATAAACTGAAAAACTATCAAATTGCTTAGTGGATTTCATTGGCATCTGAGCATACATGCAAGAAGTTCACATGAATTAGATTTCCCCGGCTGTTTTCTTCTCCCTGTTTTTCAATTGACACATACATCTGAAAATCATGGAAAATACTATCAGGAGAAAAAAAAGGGAGATAAGAGAATTACTCCAACGCTCTCAACAATTTTGCTTTAACTCTGTTGTTTAAAAACTCATGTATAGAGATTAGTTCCTAAATTTGAAAATACGTTCTTTTTTATTTTATTTTATTTTTATTTATTTATTTTTTTTGAGGCGGAGTTTCGCTCTTGTTACCCAGGCTGGAGTGCAATGGTGCGATCTCGGCTCACGGCAACCTCTGCCTCCTGGGTTCAGGCAATTCTCCTGCCTCAGCCTCCTGAGTAGCTGGGATTACAGGCACACACCACCATGCCCGGCTAATTTTTTGTATTTTTAGTAGAGACGGGTTTTCACACCATGTTGACCAGGATGGTCTCCATCTCTTGACCTCGTGATCCACCCGCCTCGGCCTCCTAAAGTGCTGGGATTACAGGCGTGAGCCAATCTTTTTTTTTTTTTTAATTGTACTTTAGTTTCTGGGGTACATGGAAGAAGAATTGTCTTGAGCCACACAAAAAATAGACTGACACTAATGATAGCTGATGATCTTAAAAAATAAAATTACAAGAAAATCTCATGATGTTTTAAGAAAGCTTACAAATTTGTGTTGGGCTGCATTTAAAGCCATCTCATGAGTGCATGCAACCTGAAGGCCATGGGTTGGACAAGCTAGACCTAAAGCTTATACAGTTTGAAGACATCTGTTTTAGGGGAAAAAAATCAAAATAACTAATAAACGGTTGTTAGGTCCCATTCTAGGGCCTTGGAGGAAATCCATGCAAAGGAGGAGTTCTAAAACTTAAGTTTCGCCTTATGTAAATCCACCATCATTATATCATAAAGTATTTATTCGAAAAGTTTTCTTAAGTATTTTCAGAAACAAACATAATTTAAAATTTTTATTGCTATTACATATATTCAGTTCCTCCACGTTAAAATTTACACTTTATCTGTTTTCTTCTGTACCTGATTTTTTTTTTTGACTAGATATTTGGTTTTTATTTTTATTTTTATTTTTTTTAATTTTTTATTGGATTATAGGTTTTGGGGTACATGAGCAGAGCATGCAAGACAGTTGCGTAGGTACACACATGGCAGTGTGCTTTGCTTTTCTTCTCCCCTTCACCCACATTTGGCATTTCTCCCCAGGCTATCCCTCCCCACCTCCCCCTCCCACTGGCCCTCCCCTTTTCCCCCCAATAGACCCCAGTGTTTAGTACTCCACTTTGTGTCCATGTGTTCTCATATTTCATCACCCACCTATGAGTGAGAATATGCGGTGTTTCATTTTAGTTTTTCCATCTGCATTCAGTTATTCTGCTTAATATTATTTAGTATTTTTTACTATTGTTGAGCTTCATGGCTTCCTAAACACTTAGAGGAAGATGAAGTTGCTTGTCAATATGGTCTGCTTAAAAATGCTTTGGGACTCCCTCAATTGTGTTATTGCAAATTGTGCAGATCACTTAAAACTATACTTGTCCTGTTACATTTATATTAACTAGTTTCTGCTTATCTTCTATTCTCTGCAGAACATCATCTCTGTCTCTGGATACTCTGGTGGCAACTGGCATCATCATTACTATTGCTTAATAAGTCCATGGCCATGTCACTGCAGTTATCCTTGGTAAAAGAGTGCCAGCATCTTGTCTAAGAGATACGTCCCAATCTAGGGCCTTAGAGGAAAACCATCCACCATGAGTCCCAGAGTCCTAACTAAGATTTTTTTTAAGTGTCTATATAACATGAGGAGGTATCATGAATATTGACTCCTCACACTAAGCCACCAAGAAATGAGTAGACATTTCCATTTATACATGGTAGTCCTCCTGTGGCTTTCTGTAATCCTTTTTATCTGCCACAGAAATTTACTATCAATCCAACTATTCAATCACATTATTGACTAGCCTTATAGCTCCACCTTTGAGGGTATGTTGGCAAATGTTCTTGAGTTTTAGAATTCTCCACAAAAGTACTGAAAATCAATAGCATCTCTTCCAAAAGATTCCACAGTTTTATATTGCAAAAAGCGGTACAGTTTTGAAAATATTTCCTGGACAAATAAATATATAAACTGAAAGAATTATTTTGAGTATTTTTTAAACACCAGGTAAAACATTCTACATAAACAAGGTCCTTGAATCTGAACATATTTGTACATATAACAGCAACTAAGAGAAAATTCACACTTAAAACCTAAATTGGCCTATTTGTTTCTCTATTTAAAATAGAATTATGCTAAATTTATGCTTACATGAGGATGTTTTATTTTATGTTAATATCGTAGACATTATTATCTAATAATTTCAAAGCTACTCGGACTTTAAACACAATATCAGACTTTCAAGCTGTAAATTTGTTCCTTATTTTTAGTACCTTAATGAAGAAAAAAAAACACAAACCGATGAAGAAAAATACATTCCTTTTCTAATTTTGCTTAAAATGAACATCTAAGAATGTTCTGTTTTGTCTCTCATAAATGGTAATTAATGAATTTTTTCTTCTCCATTTATTCAATCATACCAGAAAATAACAACCTGATATTATCAAATACTGTGGTTGCAACATATCTTTCCATTTGTGGATACATATTGGATCATATATAGGACACTATATTTTATCAATATCATTTAGAAAAATGCTCATCATCACTGGTCATCAGAGAGATGCAAATCAAAACCACATTGAGATACCATCTCACTCCAGTTAGAATGGCGATCATTAAAAAATCTGGAGACAACAGATGCTGGAGAGGATGTGGAGAAATAGGAACACTTTTACACTGTTGGTGGGAGTGTAAATTAGTTCAACCATTTGGAAGACAGTGTGGCGATTCCTCAAGGCCTTAGAAATAGAAATTCCATTTGACCCAGCAATGTCATTACTGGGTATATATCCAAAGGACTATAAATCGTTCTACTATAAGGACACATGTACACGAATATTCATTGCAGCACTGTTTACAATAGCAAAGACCTGGAACCAACCCAAATGCCCATCGATGATAGACTGGATTGGGAAAATGTGGCACATATGCACCATGGAATATTATGCAGCAATTAGAAATGATGAGTTTGTGTTATTTGTAGGGACATGGATGAATCTGGAGAACATCATTCTCAGCAAACTGACACAAGAACAGAAAATGAAATACCGCATATTCTCACTCATAGGCAGGTGATGAAAAATGAGAACACATGGACACAGGGAGGGGAGTACTAAACACTGGGGTCTATTGGGGGGAAAAGGGGAGGGCTAGCGGGAGGGGGAGGTGGGGAGGGATAGCCTGGGGAGAAATGCCAAATGTGGGTGAAGGGGAGAAAGGAAGCAAAACACACTGCCATGTGTGTACCTATGCAACTGTCTTGCATGTTCTGCACATGTACCCCAAAACCTAAAATGCAATTTAAAAAAAAAGAAAATTCCAAATAACAGTTAACTCATGTTATTTGTTTGCCATTATTTAAAGATTTGCAAAGCAGGGATATACAGAATTATGTTTCTTTCACACTTGCAATTCCAGTAAGTACCAGCAGCAGGTGGTAGTGATAATTTGCATACATTAAATCTAACATTGACCCTACCAGGCTTATTTATAATAGTAACAAAACCTATTTGTGTACAAAAACATGCTTATTACATTGACAGTATATTACTAAATGCAGACTTCTTATTTTTACATACAAATATTTCAAGAAAAAAGTAACCAAAATGCAAAGCAATATAACACTTTAAAATGAAAGCATGGACTTTCTATAAATTTAACCATTATAAGCTGTGTCTGTTAATTCTAACTTTAACTTCTTGGGAATTAAGTAACGATAGTGTCCATACAAAACAAAGTGTACTGCTCTGCAACTCATTACATAATACTTTCTGATTTGCAGAATACTCCCACCTCTCTACTCAATTCTGCATTATAAGAAAGAAATATCATGATTGTATTGCTTTGATGATGAACTAAAAGCGATTGGTAAAGACTGCTACACTTACAGCATTTTTATGGACATCAACATTTATAATAAAAATATATCTAGAGTTTTCTTTAATAGAAGAGATTACAAACTGGTTTAAATGTTAAGTAGGAGTGGCTTGGGAAAGTATGTCAAAAATTATTGCTTTTCTGTATGGAGTTCCTAAGAATTATAGAATCTCACTAGTTTATCACACTTTAGAAGCATCTCAAGGAATGACTCAATTTCTAACTGTGTGTAATTGTCATTATCTCCTAGTTCTGCTTTAATCTATGTTTCTTCCTCTCATTCCTTGGTCCTTTTTTCTAATAAATTGATTATGGATATTGAATGTTCTAACTGGAACTGTCCCTCTTGAAATTTTTATAGTCTTTGTTTCTGGAATAAATTATTCTCATTAATTTGCTTTTCTGAAATTTCAAATGTATTTCAAACACATTCATCTTCATGAGAATAGTTTCAACATTCACTGACCTTGAGCCCTCACAAAGTCTCGGCAATTACAATTTGATAAGAACTCTCTAGAAAGAAGAGCCTAACACAGCATTGTGACTAATGTTCTGTGTCACAAAAACTGTGACACTTAATGCCTTAAAGGTAAAACCTAGAAGTTAAGTAGAACTAAAAGATAAGATGAAAAATAATGAGAAGGCATTGCCTTATTAAAATATATAAACCTATTTTTCAGTTTCTTCATGGCTGTCTTTACTTCTTGATTCCTCAGAGTATAGATTACTGGGTTCAAAATGGGTGTAAAGATGGTATAAAACACAGACAGAATCTTGTCTATGAGAAGGCTGCTTAGTGGCCACATGTAGATGAAGATGCATGGCCCAAAGAATAAGAAGACAACAATGAAATGAGCTGTACAAGTAGAAAGGGCCTTAGACGATCCTCTGGAAGAATGATGCTTCAAAGTAACCAGGACAGTAACATATGAATCAAATAAAACAATAAAGCAGGACAAAGCAATTATGCCACTTGTTGAGATCATAAAGAAGCCCAGAACATAATTATCTACACAAGCCAGCTGGAACACCACCGGAAGGTCACAAAAAAAGCTGTCTACTTCATTGGGACCACAGAATGGTAACATGAGAGCAAATATGACCTGACTCATTGAATGCATGATTCCCACAATCCAGGAAGCTGCCACGAGAGCAACACACACCTGGGGACTAATGATTGAAGCATAGTGCAGGGGCTTGCATATTGCAATATACCTATCAAAGGACATGGCCATGAGTAAGATGATCTCAGTGCCAGTGAAAAGGTGGAGAAAGAATATCTGGGTAAGGCAGTCACTGAAAGAGATAATTTTGTGGCCTGTTAGGTAATCTGTAATCATCTTCGGGGTGGCAAAAGAAGCAAGAGACATATCAATGATTGAAAGATTGGCAAGCAGGAAATACATAGGAGAGTGTAGGTGAGGGTCTACTATAACTGTGATGACTATGAGGCTGTTACCCACCATTGTTGCCACGTAAAACAATGAAAATACCATAAAGTAAAACATCTGTAGTTCCCAGGAATTAGAGAGCCCCAGTAAAACAAATTCAGACATGATAGACTTATTGGCCACAGCCATTGTCTTGATTTATAGGTAGGAGCCTGTACAAAAGAAAAAAAAAAGAGGAAAGTCAGATCCAATGAAAGAAAAAGATTCATCTAATAATCTACTTTCAGAAATTTTATTTTCTCTATAAAATTTATCTTAACCATTATTTCCATTCTTCTCATTTGGTATATTGGATTGAAAGGAAATTATGGAATATTAGAGCTTATGGCAAAATACTCCTTAAATCACAGGTGTTGAAAAGAACACGTTCCTTTCTGGTACTAAATGGCAATCCAACCAAGATAATATCATTCTGAACAGACCTACCTACCTACCTACTTGTCCATCTATTCATCCATGTAATCCTAAAGGTAACAGTAAGCACTTACTTTATGATGACAATGTGTAAAACACACCTACACATATATGTTTAGTCATTTGGAATTTGTCGGTAAAGATATTCCGACAAAAATATATAAAAATTATATCACTTGTAAGGGCTCTTAGGCAACATTATAGTGAAGTTTCAATGGACAGTTGTAGAGCTTTTTTAAATTTCCAGAGATGAACTGTTAAAGTATTCCCAGATAAAGTGTTCTGTTTGAAACTAAAAATAAATACATAGAAAATTAGTTTTGTTGATATTCATCCAGAGAAAGAAGACTGATTTATTAAAATATAGTCATATAGACAAAGGAATGTCATTTAACATCTTTTGGTCCTTTCTTTTAATTAAAATATGAACATGTTCCTTACAAATATCTATCATTCTATAATTTAAAAGTTCATATTCTAAAGGATATATAAGAACATTTTCATGGGAAAGTGCTCAAAGATCAATCTCTTTCATTTTGCCTTTGTTTGAATTCTTCTTCTGTAAATGTCAATATATGTAAACTGTTGTATTGACCTCAGCTTCATGGAATAGGGATTAGGAAATGGGAGTGTGAAGGGCAAAAACTTAAAATATTTCAGTAGAACTCATTTGTAAAACACTTTTACTTACCAAATCTATTGAAGAACCAGGGCTTTAAATTACTCAGTGTTAAGCAGGCTCGGACAGAGCAGAGAAGGCAATTTTAAAAATAAATAAATGACCTAGTTGAATCATTAGTTATATAACAGCTGTGGATAAAATGGATGTTGTAAGGACTTGGGAATTGAACAAGACATCATCTTGCAATGGGATTTATTAAACAAAATGGCATTATTGTGCTCACAAAAGAAAGATATTTCAAGAATCTTATGGGAATTGATGATGATTTTTTTCATCTGGACCTAAGAGACTCAGAGACTAGAAGCTGGGATGGTCCTGATTTCAAAAAGGCAGGAAATATCAAGTCAACTAATTCTAATAAGCACTCTTGATTCTCTAATACTATATTAGAAGCAATGAAAAACAAAATCCAAAACATTTGCCTCTGCTTCAAGTAATTTACAGTTATTTGAAGATATTAAATACCTATAAATAAAACAATTGGTGAAAAATGCAACCAAATAAACCTAGTGTTCAGCCAATTCTCAGAGACCATGGATGAAGTAGGCTTCAGTTAAAATAAAAAGGTAATGTGCAGAATCCATCAAGCAAGTGTTCTTGCAGGAGACATATCATGAACTTGACTTAGGATGAAAACTAAAATATCTATTGGCAGAAGAAAAAAAAATGCATGTGGAGGGAAAACAGTGCAACTTATTTGCCATAAAACAGGATGCTTAGCAGTTTCAAAGAATAAGAATGTCTTTCCAAAAATTTAACTTGATATAAAAGATAAGGTATCATTTTAACATAGTGGAAAGAATTATGATTATTTGAAAGGAGTATTTTGGGTCGCAGAGGATGCACTAGCGTGAGTAGGGTGACAAGGGCAAGTGCAGTGACTCCTTGCTGTTGAGCAAGAGGCTCTCTGAAGACTCAAGCTGCCACCAGGTGCTGCAGAAGTCGACGAATATGTGGCGCTCCACAAGTGAGGACGCGTCGGTGGCCAACAAGGAGAAGGCGCGGCTCGAGGAGGTGGAGGCGGCAGAGGAGAGGCTGCTGGTGTTCCTGTGCTCCAGCTGCTGGCGGCCGCTGGGTGACTCGCGAGCTGGGTGACCAGCCAAAAGGACACCAACTGTATCCTGCTGCACTGTGTTTCCTGTAATGTTTCTGTGGGTAAGGAACAGAAGTTATCCACATGTGAAAAGGAAAATGGTTGCATCCTTGAAACTTTGTACTGCACGGGGTGCTCACTCAACCTTGGCTACGTGTATAGATGCACACCCAAGAATCTTGATTACAAGAGAGACTTGTTTTGCCTCAGTATTGAAGCCATCAAAAGCTATGTTTTAGGGTCCTCTGAAAAGCAAATTGTGTCAGAAGATAAAGAACTTTTTAATCTTGAAAGCCGTGTTGAAATAGAAAAGTCTCTAAAACAGATGGAAGATGTCTTGCAAAAGTACAGATTGTCTCCTCACATAAAAAGTACAGACAGTCTCCTCAAGCAGCTCCCTGACCCCCATATATCCAAAGAGTCACCTCACAAACAACTGATCACACTGACATTTGGTGGGCATCATTAAGGGACAAAGATAGCAGAAGAAGAAATGGGTAGCAATCCTCATGGTTCCACAGCTGCTACAGGTGTACCCCAGACAAGCAGGGTCTGAAGTGGACTTCAGTAGTCCTACAGCAGAGGGGCCAGACTGTTAGAAGTAAAAATAAGAAACAGAAATACTTCATCATCAACAATCTTGACATCCACTCAGAGACACAATCGGAAAATCAGCAACCACTCGGAAGACAGGTGGATAAATCCACAAAGATGGGAAGAAACCAGCACAAAAATGAGGAAAACACCTGAAACCAAAACACCTCGCCTCCCACAAAAGACCAAAACTCCTCACCAGCAAAGAAACAAAGCTGGATGGAGAATGAGTGTCATGAAATGACAGAATCGGACTTCAGAAGGTGGGTAATGAGAAACTTCCATGAGCTAAAAAAACATTCTAACTCAATGCAAAGAAACTAAGAAATTTCAAAAAAGATTTGAGGAAATGATAACAAGAATGGATAACTTAGAGAGGAATATGAGTGAATTGAAGGAGCTAAAAAACACAACATGAGAACTTCACGAAGTATGCACAAGGTTCAAGTGCTGAATTTACCAAGCAGAAGAAAGGATATCAGAAGTCGAAGATCAACTCAATGAAATAAAATGAGAAGCCAAGATTAGAGGAAAAAAGCGCAAAAAGGAATGAACAAAGTCTCCAAGAAATGTGGGACTATGTGAAGAGACCTAATCTACATATAATAGGTGTACCTGAATGTGACGAAGAGAATGAATCCAAGCTGGAAAATACTCTTCAGGATACTATCCAGGAATATTTCCCCAACCAAGAAAGGCAGGTCAATATTCAAGTCCAGGAAATACAGAGAACATCACAAAGATATTCTGCAAGAAGAGTAACCCCAAGGCACATCATCATCAAATTCACCAGAGTTGAAATAAAAGAAAAAATGCTAAGGACAGCCAGAGAGAAAGGTTGGGTCACCCACAAAAGAAAGCCCATCAGACTCGTAGCAGATCTCTCAGCAGAAACCCTACAAGCCAGAAGAGAGTGGGGGCCAATATTCAACATTCTTAAAGAAAAGAACTTTCAACCCAGAATTTCATAACCAGCCAAACTGAGCTTCATAAGCAAAGAAAAAATAAAATCCTTTGCAAACAAGCAAGTACTCAGAGATTTCGTCACCACCAGACCTGCTTTACAACACCTCCTGAAAGAGGCACTACACATAGAAAGGAATAACCAGTACCAGCCATTCCAAAAACATACCAAATGCTAAAGAGCATCAACAAAATGGAGAATCTGCATCAACTAATAGGCAAAACAGCGAGGTAGCATCAAAATGGCAGTATCATATTCACACATAACAATACTAACCCTAAATGTAAATGGGCTAAATGCACCAATCAAAAGACACAGACTGGCAAACTGGATAAAAAGGCTAAACCCATCGGTGTACTGTATCAAGGAAACCCATCTCACATGCAAGGATACACAAAGGCTCAAGATAAACGGATGGAGGAAGATTTACCAAACAAATGGAGAGCAAAAAAAAGCAGGAGTTGCAATTCTCATCTCTGATAAAATAGACTTTAAAGCAACAAAGATCAAAAGAGACAAAGAAGGCCATTACATAATGGTAAAAGGATCAATACAACAAGAAGAGCTAATGATCTTAAATATATATGGACCCAATACAGGAGCATCCAGATACATAAGGCAAGTTCTTAATGACAACAAAGAGACTTAGACTCCCACACAATAACAGTGGGAGACTATAACACTCCACTGTCAATACTAGACAAATCAACCAGACAGAAAATTAACAAGGATATCCAGGACTTGAACTCAGACCTGGAACAAGCAAACCTGATAGACATCTACAGAACTCTCCACCACAAATCCACAGAATATACATTCTTCTCAGCACCGCATCACACCTACTCTAATACTGACCACATAATTGGAAGTAAAGCACTCCTCAGCAAATGAAAAAGAACAGAAATCATAACAAACAGTCTCTCAGACCATAGTGCAATCAAGTTAGAATTCAGAATTCAGAAACCAACCCAGAACCACACAGCTTCATGGAAACTGAACAACTGGCTCTTGAACGTTGACTGGGTAAACAATGAAATGAAGGCAGAAATAAAGAAGTTCTTCAAAACCAATGAGAACGAAGACACAACTTGCCAGAACCTCTGGGACACATTTAAAGCAGTCTCTAGAGGAAAGTATATAGCAACAAGTGCCCATATGATGAGAGTGGAGAGATCCAAATTTGACACCCTATCATCAAAATTGAAAGACTAGAGGAGCAAGATAAAAAAACTCAAAACCCAGCAGAAGACTAGAAATAACCTGGGAAGCAGGGGTTGCAGCGAGCCGAGACTGCACCATTGCACTCCAGCCTGGTGACAGAGCGAGACTCTGTCTCAAAAAAAAAAAAAAGATAAAAAGCCTCAATAAACTCGGTATCGATGGAACGTATCTCAA